AGGTGATAACAGGCAGAATCCAGTTTAGAGAATGGTTGTGTTTCAAAGTCCATGTGCACGGCACAGATAAGAACGCAGTAAACATTGTTCCATAGAATTGGGGCTGTCAGGTATGGTCGTCACTAGGCCAACTCACATGCTAGTCAGTCCACAGTGTCGCTGGAGCATGGGCCTGAGCCTGTACCATCACAGGTGACTGGAATTCTGGGAAAAGGCAACCAGAGGGATAATGTAGACATAGTCCTCCTCCTCCTTTTTTCTTTCTTTCTTTCTTTTTTTTTTAGCAGATGCCAAATCCAAAGCATAGCCCTCCTTCTGTCTCACTGTCTCTGATGACTGAGCTGAGAGTAAAGAACTCCTTCCCCCAAACTACCAGTGAAAATCCTATGTTTTCACATGTGTTCCCCTAAGGCCAGTTGTCTTAATACCAGATCAGGAAAATGAAATAAATAATAGGTGGCATTATTTTAAAGAGCAAACAAGAGCATACTTTTGAATGTTTATATAACTCAAAGTGGCCAGATATTTGGCAAACCAGTCATCTAATCATTGAATGAAGGATCTGTTCCCAGCTCCTATAGCCCAAGCTGGGTGTGGTAGATTATATTATTATTGAAAATATTTTCTGCCCCTCCCTGGAGAGATGGATATTTCCCCAATCATTAACTTCAGACTTGACCTTGCGTCTCTTGGTACCCTCCTCTTGCAGGAAAATTACATAATTCTGCTCTCTTAAGCTCAAGAGTTATTATGTGACTTGCTCTGGTCCATGGAATGTGGGTAGAAATGATGTGTCACTTTTGAGCAGTAGCTTTGAGAGCTAGCTTGTGGTTCACTATCTTTCTTTTTTCTCTCTGCCACAAAACCAGCAATGTTTAAGAAAAAACGTAGTTCCATCTGTGTGGGTCCTAGAGAACAGACGACATGGAGCAGAGGCACAATTTACCTATAATGGACAAGTAACATGAGCAAGAATCAAACCTTAGTTCTTATAAACCACAAGATTTTAGAAGCCTGTCCTGACTCATACAGTGTATAATGATGAGGGCGTGGGACTAAGTCGAATGCCCTGCGAGCATTCTAGAAATTTTCCGTACTGTCTGAACAGATTGCTGGATGCTTTCTATTGTCTTGAGTATTTAGAAATTGGCTTGTTGCCAATTCAGTCCTTTTTGTTGAATCTTCACTTTCCTTTTCCCCTGTTCTGTGGGAGGAATAATTTTCCCTGCCCTATGGCTTTGGCCAAAGACTGGTGAGTGCACTCGATTTGTGGCACACCTAAATAAGAATGTAAAAATACCTGTGTGTTTTGACATGGCCTCTTAAGCAATTTCTATCCAACATAAGAACACACCCAGGTGCCTGTTTGTTTTGTACCTTGATCTGCAAGGAGAGGCATGTGGAATGACCTACTTCCAACCTACATTCTGGAGCCAAGCCCAGCTGAGCCACAGCTATCCACAGATCTGGATGCAAGAAATGCGTGTTATTATTGTAAGTTATGAAGATTTGGGACTCTTCCTCACCCCAGTAAGAGGTGATCGATGTAGGCAGGGTCCTGTGTCCTCTGAACTGATCATCAGTAGAACAGCAATCTCATAGCTGTATTTTTAAAGAAAGAGGCTTTGTGAGATATTGATGATTTTATTGCCCCTAGGAAGGAAAATCACCTGGGAGTAAAGGCCCTTGTTGTATCAATTCCAGGTACTTCCATTTCTTTCCCACCTGCCATAGCATACTAAGTGATGGCAGTTATTATGTGCCTGGCATTTTCCAAGCTGCCTGCCTTATCTTGTTGACTCTATTTAGTTCTCTTCTGTAGGTGGGTCCATCTCCCTTGCTTGGGGAATAGGAAGGGCACAGAGAATAGTGTGAGCAGGAAGCCACTTTAATGCCTCCTTTCCCAAGACCAATGCACCAAGAGTGTGAGCTCAGCCCAATTCCAGTACTTGGCTTCCAGTAGCAGTGATGTGGAGCTGGCGAGGCCACGTGGATGTGCAGTCACATGACTTACTGACTCCATTGACTTGAGCAGATCAGAGGGAGATGCAAGCAGTCTGTCATACCTGGAAGTTCACAAACCAGCAAGCATAGGGTTGCATGCTATTCAAACCTCTCCTTGCCCCATTCCTTCTTTGAGTATTATCCAGATCTCTTACTAGTACTGGGACAGTCCGTCTTGCCTCCGGGGTCCCACAGTGCAGCCTGCTTCTGTTAATGAAATGAAACTTATTTCTCTACTTCCTCAAATGACCATATCATTATATTAAAGTATAGATATTTGGTATTCTACACAATTGTTAGAGGGCTAGGTAGGCTAATTGCTATAATAAGTCCAAAAATCATTAGTGGCTAGACACAGTGGTCTACTGTGTTTCCCCAAAAATAAGACCTACCCCAAAAAATAAGCCCTAGCAGGATTTCTAAGCATTTGCGCAATATAAGCCTTACCCCCAAAATAAGACCTAGTGATGGGCATGGCTTCGCAGCGTATCTGCACAACCCATGCATTTCATGGCGGAGCGGTAAAGAAGACGAGCAGCCCTTCTCATCTGCCCCATGAGAGCTCTATTGCTCGACATGAGAGATTGGGGCCAATGGTTCTAAAGGATATAGAGTCACAAGAAATTCAGGATGGAATTCGGGGTTTGGAGAGTTATGATGATGTTCCAGAAGAAGACGGCTTAACTATATTTGAATAAATGTAGATTGTTGTACCATACTTAAAAAAAAAAAAACACATCCCCTGAAAATAAGCCCTAGGGTTTCTTCTCGAGGAAAAATAAATATAAGACCCTTGTCTTATTTTCATGGAAACACAGTAAGTATTGCTCACAACACAGTCTATTCTAGGCTGGGAGGGCACTGTGAGGTGGGCAGTGGGAGGGGCCTCTGTCGTTCCATGAAGTCATTCAAGGACCCAGGCTCTTGCCATCTGGTGGTGGTTTCACCCTCCTCCAGATCTACCGAGGCTCTCCATTCAGCTGGCAGATGGGGAAAGAGAAAGTTGAGACTGCACATCTCTTCTCAGCAAACTTGGCCCAGCTGTCACACCTGTCACTTTGCTCACAAGCCTATCACATAACTCCACCTAGAAGAAGGCAGGTGAGGAAAGGAGGTCTTTCTGTGTGTGCCCAAGGGGAAACATGGGTGTGAGAGCACTGGCTGCCTCTGCACCACCACAGCCTCGTACAGTGCCTGGGCAATCAATCCTTCATTATAACTCACAAGCTAGATAGTTTTCTTCCAAATGTGTGCAAACTTACGCTTCTGAGGCAAGAGGTTTGCTTTCTGTACTATAGACACCATTTAGCTTTACATTGACCTTACTAGTTTTGTACTGGCTTTATCCTTTGAATTCTGTTTTTTAACACAAGTCTGTTTTCTGATAGAACATTAGACCTACTTACTCTTAAAATATATTTTTGAGTTTGAACATATGGATATTTTATGTCCATATCATGGACATATTTTATATTTTAATGGAATTCTTACACTGCATTATTTTACTCCCTAACACATTTAATATTCACAGTAACTCTAGGAGAAGGTATTATTACTATTTCCTTTTTAGAGTTGAGGAATACAAGACGTAGAGAGAGGTCAAGTGACTCCCCACCAAGTGAGAGGCAGGGCTGGGGTTCACACCAACGTGTGCCTGACCTCAGGCCTGTGCTCTGAGTCACCACGTCACACAGCATTCCTTTCTGGACCAGACTGGGGGCAACTGTCTCTTCTATGTCCACTTCTGGCTACCCCTTCTCTCCCTCATTGAAAGGCTACTTGTGGATCTTCCTCCAGATGTTTCCTCCCCTCCCAAAGTCTAGGGCACTAGAATTTGCTTGCATATGGGAGATAATTTCTTTCATTGGTTCCCATGATAGTTCTTTAAAAACAAAATAGGAGAACAATCAGGATTAAATTTATATGCAATTTTAAGTATGGTTGCATGAGATTAGAGAAATATGAATGGAAGATGACATTATGTAATAGAAATTCCAGGGAATCTTAAGTATTTGTTTTCTTGTTTGGGATGTGCAGAAGACAAAGTTTTTATAAATTACTATGCATAATTACTCAACAAGTATTTACTGTGCACTTATGCTGGAATTTGCTTTAAATGTGTGTATTTCTTCTGTGGCAAGCCTTGCTTTTTTGTGTCTGTTTTAAGAACCAGGTCTTTGTGACTGGTGAATGGAAATAATGATCTTAACAGCCTACCTGGTGATTTTCTGGCACATTGTTAACCTAACTAAGCATCTTTGGGCGTGGAGACCTGATTGGCTGCAGATCTTGTTACTCATAGAAATAATAAAAGCATCCCAGAGATCATTAGCAGATACAAGCAAAAAACAATTTACTGCAGAAAATATGTTAATATCTCTAGTATTGGCCAGGCATGGTAGCTAACATTTGTAATCCTAGCACTTTGGGAGGCCAAAGCAGGAGGATCACTTGAAGCTAGGAGTTCAAGACCAGTCTGGTCAACACAGTGAGACACTGGTTCTACAAAAATTGTTTTTAGGCCGGGCGCGGTGGCTCACGCCTGTAATCCTAGCTCTCTGGGAGGCCGAGGCGGGCGGATCGCTCAAGGTCGGGAGTTCGAAACCAGCCTGAGTAAGAGCGAGACCCCGTCTCTACTATAAATAGAAAGAAACTAATTGGCCAACTAATATATATAGAAAAAAAAAATTAGCCGGGCATGGTGGCACATACCTGTAGTCCCAGCTGCTCAGGAAGCTGAGGCAGGGGAATCAGTTGAGCTCAGGAGTTTGAGACTGCAGTGAGCTGTGATCACTCCACTATACTCCAGCCTGTGTGACAAAATGAGACCCTGTCTCTAAAAAAAAAAAAAAAAAAGGAAAATAAAACAAGAAAAAAGTCTCCAGTAGCTATTCAACCTTGAATTAGAATTTCTGGTTTGATATATGCTGAGTTCAGTCCTTGGATTTGTTTTTAAAAGTTATCTTTACCTTTCCCTACTTCCTCTGTCACTTTAGGTTGGACTTGCAATGATTCTGGCCTGAGTTCCAGGATGATTTGTTCTTGGGACCAGACGTGACCAGAAGTTGACCTCATGAGCACTTCGACCTCTCCAGCCGCCATGCTTCTCCGGAGGCTGAGACGGCTCTCCTGGGGCAGCACTGCCGTCCAGCTCTTCATCCTAACGGTGGTGACGTTTGGTCTGCTGGCCCCCTTGGCCTGTCACCGGCTTCTGCACTCTTACTTCTATCTGCGCCACTGGCATCTGAACCAAATGAGCCAAGAGTTTCTGCAGCAAAGCTTGAAAGAGGGTGAGGCTGCGCTCCACTACTTTGAGGAGCTGCCCTCTGCCAATGGCTCAGTGCCCATTGTCTGGCAGGCCACACCCCGGCCCTGGCTGGTGATCACCATCATCACTGTGGACAGGCAACCTGGCTTCCACTATGTCCTGCAGGTGGTGTCCCAGTTCCACCGGCTTCTTCAGCAGTGTGGCCCCCAGTGCGAGGGGCACCAACTCTTCCTGTGCAACGTGGAGCGGAGTGTGAGCCATTTCGATGCCAAGCTGCTCTCCAAGTATGTCCCCGTGGCCAACCGCTACGAGGGCACTGAGGATGATTACGGCGATGACCCTTCGACCAACTCATTTGAGAAAGAGAAGCAGGACTATGTCTATTGCCTGGAGTCATCCCTGCAGACCTACAACCCAGACTATGTCCTGATGGTGGAAGATGACGCTCTCCCGGAAGAGCAGATCTTCCCAGTCTTGGAGCACCTTCTGCGGGCTCGCTTCTCTGAGCCACACCTCAGAGATGCCCTTTATCTGAAGCTCTATCACCCCGAGAGGCTCCAGCACTACATCAACCCAGAGCCCATGCGGATCCTGGAGTGGGTTGGTGTGGGCATGTTGCTGGGGCCCTTACTAACCTGGATATATATGAGGTTTGCAAGCCGCCCGGGCTTTAGCTGGCCTGTCATGCTCTTCTTCTCCCTGTACAGCATGGGTCTGGTGGAGCTGGTGGGCCGGCACTATTTCCTGGAACTGCGGCGGCTGAGTCCTTCCCTGTACAGTGTGGTCCCTGCCTCTGAGTGTTGCACCCCTGCCATGCTCTTCCCTGCCCCCGCGGCCCGCCGGACCCTCACCTACCTGTCCCAGGTGTACTGCCACAAAGGCTTTGGCAAGGACATGGCGCTGTACTCGCTGCTGAGGGCCAAGGGAGAGCGGGCCTACGTGGTAGAGCCCAACCTCGTGAAACACATTGGGCTCTTCTCCAGCCTCCGGTACAACTTTCATCCCAGTCTACTTTAAGGTGCCAAGAAAAGCCTTTCTGAAATTGGCCACTTCTTGGAGATTCAAATCTCAAGCTCTTTGTTTAGACGTGGTTGCTTGCAGATACTTCATTGTTTACTGTTGCTAGGGATATAGGCACTGGGACAGCTGAGGAACATCTGTGAATCCAGAGTCTTGGCTTTGATTGATAACTTTCCGGCAGGAGCAGCAGTTTGCCACGGATCCGGACCTCTCCCCCTCCACACAGCCACGCTGCCTCACGCAGTCTGACCCACCCATCGAGGGTGCACCAGTGAGAATTTCCAGCTGTTTTGGAGCTCTGCTTTGTGATAGAGCTTGTGACTGCCAAAAATTTGTGCACACTGCTAAGACTGTTTTAGGATTTTAAGGGTAGAATTTGGTGAAAGGTGAGAATTGATTCTTTTGAATCAATTCTTTCGAATTGATTCTTTCTCATTGGGTGTGAGAATGGATGTGGGTTTAGAATATATGCCCAGTAAGGCAGGATCATGTGGATATATTCCATTTGTCTCTTTGACCTGGTGTAATAGAAACTGATGAAAGCCGTGCAGTGCCTGGCGTCTTAGAGGCAAGGTGACCTGGCTTTTCTATTACCTGGCATTTTTTTTCTGTATATCTGTAGTACACTGATAATTGATACTGTTAGTGAGAACTTGAAGACACAGCAGAATCTGGAAGAGCCTTTTGGATCATCAAAATTAGATTGCTTATGTTTACTAGTGATTTAATGTTGAATATTTCTATTGTATTCTGATTCTTTGAAAGTTGGACATTGCAGAACCATATAGAAGGGTGAGCTCTTTACTGGTAGCATATCCTTTTCCCTAACTTTGCTGGCTGACCATTCACCCTCCTTTCTTTGTCTTCTAGGTAGCATGATGGTATAGAAGAAAAAGCATGGACTGAAGTCAGAAGACCTGAACCTTTATTTCAGATCTCTGCCATGTCCTAATGATGTGACCTTGGGCGAGTCATATAACCATTCTGGGTCTCAGTAAAATGAGAACAGTAGTACCTACCTGTTAAGGTTGCCTTAGGATTAAATGGCAGATGATATGGAAACACCTAGCAAGTGCTTGACCCATACAGGACATGTGGCAAATGTTTTTTTCTCTCTTATTTAATAAGTATATACAACTCCAGTGTATTTGGGGTCAAGATATTAGTGATGTTGTTTGAAGCGTGAGATAGGGCATAGGGCTGCCACCTGCGTAACAGGTGTTCCAGACCAAACGCTGCTAACATAAAGGCTGACTTTTCATTGTGACTTTGGAAGGATGTGCAGCTCAGCTTTCATCCAGCCCTACCTCCAACTGAGCCAACAATACGAATTGTTTGTTCAAACTGGAAATGATCTGAGACTCCTCCTGAGTTTTTCCAAAACTGGCATCTGAAAATTACTTTTCTCAAAAGTTACAAATAGGCCGGGCTCGGTGGCTCACGCCTGGAATCCTAGCACTCTGGGAGGCCGAGGCAGGCGGGTCGTTTGAGCTCAGGAGTTTAAGACCAGCCTGAGCAAGAGCGAGACCCTGTCTCTACTATAAAATAGAAAGAAATTAATTGGCCAACTAATATATATAGAAAAAATTAGCCGGGCATGGCGGCGCATGCCTGTAGTCCCAGCTACTCGGGAGGCTGAGGCAGGAGGATTGCTTGAACCTAGTAGTTTGAGGTTGCTGTGAGCTAGGCTGACACCACGGCACTCACTCTAGCCTGGGCAACAAAGTGAGACTCTGTCTCAAAAAAAAGTTACAAATAAATGTCCTTTGATAATACTTATCAGACTAGTGGCCAGCAGATCCCTTTATGAGAACAGATGATTATATCAGAGTTTTCATTCAGTTGTCCAGTTTCAATGCCACAGTTTGCTTTTAAATTTCTACAGTGAGTTTCCATCTTGAGATCCATTCATGAACCCCGAGGGGGTAGGTACGGGTTGATCATCCACGCTCTACAGATGAGCAAATTGAGACCCAGAGATGTTAAACGGCTTCTCCAGGTTCACAAAGCTGAACAGCAGCAGAGCCAGGATGGGAACATAGCTCTTCTGACTTCCAGCCCCGGCACTTTTTTTCTTAACCACCTTAATTTTATAAACATTTATGTGGTCAAAGTCTCTTTTGTAAAATCCTATTGTAACCTGCACTGAATAATGCCTCTGTAAGCTAAGATGGCAGAAGCCCATTGTCATGTTAGTCTTGGGGAACAAACGGATATAAGTATGTGTTGTGTTATGGTGAGCTGTTATGTATCCCCCAGCAATACCCAAAGTGATCAGAGCTGCTAGATGACTTATTATGATGTTCAGATTCCACTCCTTCATTCCTCCTCTCCAGTAATCTGTTCTAAGACAGAACCGCCTCCAACTCAGAACTCATTAGAGCATGTTGCATTAATGATTGGGTCTCCTTATGAAAGTGTTTTGCCCAGTGACAGGAGAGCCACTCAAAGCTAGCCAAGCCCAAGAGAGGGAATCACTGCTGGTTTGCATTTCTGCTCTTTCTAATTCAGCTGTCTACTGCATGCAGACGTCCCCTCCCCGGACTTCTCTAAGGCTGAGGCCACCCTTCCTTGTCCAGTTTCTCTACCTACACCCTAAGACATCTTCCCGCAGTGATCTTAACCAGGGCCTGCCGTCCTCGGACATTTTCTGCAGATGCAGGCTCAGTCCTGGCCTTTTATCTCCACCTACTTCTTGATCCTGTTCCATTTTGTCCCTTACTCCTAAAAGTCTCGTTTTTGTGTATTGTCCTTCCTTAGGGCAGCTGACAGCTTTACACCAAAGCTGAAGTCTCTCATTTAATCCTAAGCAAGGAGCTGGAGGAGAACTAAGATACCCTTCGCATATCACGGGACATTAGGTTACCAGGAGAGTGAGGGTCTCTAACAGTCTCTGTCACCTTTCAGAGTTTAAATTATAATCAGGCCTAAGAAACTCCCTCTTGTGACTGAGTGTATTTGCATATAGACATGTCAGTAAAAATAAAAGAACCCATTTTGCCAAGGTTTCCTGAATAGACTTCTGTCATTTTCTCTCTTTTCCATAAGTGGATTTTTCTGGCGTGGCAAATCGTGTGGGCCCTCTTCTCCCCTCCCTCCACAAAGTTGTGGAGTCATTCAAAATTATGGGCTGCTGACTGCAAGCAACCATGGCCTCAGGTCCTGGGTCACAGCAGTGCCTGGCCTTACATCTTTTTCTGGACAAAAAGAAATCTGGGCCCACCCCTACCACCCAGACCAGCTCACCTCTCAGCAATCTAAACTTAGAACAGTATGGTGATCATTCCTTCATTCTTTCCTGCCTCTTGACCTAAAAGTCCTAGAACGGGCTTCAGAGCTGCCATAGGTGGTGTTCCTGTCTGATGTCCCCATTGGCAACACCAAGAAGATGTAGCAGCACCTGCAGTCTGAAAGAGAAAACCAGCCTTTCCCCCAGAGAAGCACACAGAAACACCCCCCCACACACACATTGAAAACAAAACCTTAACAACAAAGGAAAAAGTAGCCGTATGTGGTGTTGTAAAACATTTCTCTTTGCACTTGCCATTCCCTCTGCCTGGAATGAATGTAAAAAACTCTTTTTTTCCTTCTAAACACCACATCTGGAAAAAAAAAAACATACTTTTATCGGAGCCAAAATTGTACACTATAACTAATTCTCATTACCTGGACCCCTTTTCTTTGTTCCTCTTCCTAATTTTCTTCCTTAGTCCCATTTCTCTTCATCCAGTGTTCCTTTTTTTCATGAGCAGTTTTACTGTGAGTCCCTTTACTCTCTCTCTCATTCATTCATTTATTTATTCCTTGATCACTGTGTCAGGTACTATTCCAGGTGGAGGGGATTCAGCAGTGAATGATGCATGGAAGATCCCTGACGCTGTGGAGCTTATGCTCTTTATTTATGGAAGAAAATAAAACCCAAAATAATAAATAAGGGAATTTCAGGTAATGACAAGAGCTTTGAAGGAAATCTAACTGGGTAATGTGATGGAAGTACCAAGTGTATGGAAGAGGGTAGACTTCATTAGTTAGGATGGGAAATTTCTTGGAGGAGATTAAAATTGAACTAAGACCTGGATTCTATGGAAAGAAAGCCAATATGGCTGGAGCTTGAAGAATGAGAATGGGGGTGGGAAGACATGAAGGTATAATTTGCAGGGGCCAGATCACGTTGGTCCTGGGAGGTGATGTAGGCTAGGTATTTGAATTTTATTCTAAATGCAATAGGAAGCCAGGTCCTCGAAAGACAATTATTTTTCCTGAACATAAACTATCCATTATTTAGTTCCTTTGCATTCTCCACAGGCTACTATTATAAAAGATTCTGTGACGGGGCAGACGTTAGACTTATATAAGAGAATGCAAGACACACAAGAACAGATGACAAGTGCAGAGAACTTCGGCTTCACTCGGCATCTTTGTCCTCTGCCTCCATCTTTCTGACGTCTTAAAGCTACCCTCTTCCTACATACTTATGCCATCTTTTTCTTGGTTCTCTTTGATAAATTCATCATTTGCCTTTGGATTTTCATCTGTTTTTACCCTCACATTGTTAACATAGGTGCTTTTTTTGATTAGTCTATTGTTCATATGTCTGTGTAGGAAGTGAAAAAGACCAGGAAAATCTGTGAAACACTAAACCAAAAATTCCCATTCACTGCAGGGTGATGATTCACGACAATGCTGCAATTGTCAGGTACTGGAGTGACCCGCAAACCATAACACATTGCCATTGCAGTCCTAATACATTAAGTACTTCTTCTTGGCCACCAGCTCTATTAAATTTCCAACCATCTTTAACATAGCCCCAAAGGTTTTCCAAATAATATCCAACCTAGAAAACAGTTCTAGTTAATGAGCATTTTTTGGCAAATTCCAGTGTAGTTGGGATAAAAATATTCAAATGGTTAATATGGCTTAAAATTATCCAACTTTATATCATGTGGTGCTGTAACTTACAAAGCATCGTAGTTTACATAAAAATCCCACAGTAATCAACTTCAATTAAGATGCCTCTCCACCCAAATTAAGTTACCAATTAAATAAATTTCTCCTAAATGAGGAATGTGTCTAAGGTAAATTAGATTAATCCTATCAAATCTGTATTCTCCAGTTGCATTGTAGTATTCTCACCATTTTTCTTCAACAATTAAAAAAAATGCACAATTCAAATGTTTCCATTAGAGAGACAATAAAATTGGTTGTCAATTTTAAGCAAACAGCTATATCTAATTCCCCATTGTATTTTTTTCTGCAAACTTCAGCTACTATTTTAATTGCTTTGGAAAAAAAATATACACAATCAGAATTTTTCGAAGTTTTCCTATTAGGCAAGTTACTCAGAAGTAAGATTCCTTTTTTGTTGTTTTATCCTAAGCAGGGCAAGACATTTCTGATATACCAGTTTTCAAGTCAACCAGTCTGTGTAGATTTCTTTCTAGAAATGTGTGCAATTCCTTTTGTCCTTCTCAATCATACCCCTCTGCAGCCCCAGTATATCCAGACTCCATTGCCAGCTGGTGTTCAGCAAAAGCTTGGCTTCCATCCAGCTCCCTTTCCAGTGGGGTTTATTATAAAGGAGGCAGGATTCCATCTTTCTGGAATGCACATATGGAGTAGATCTACATTTTAGAAGTTTTCAAAAGCATTTAAATTGTCTTTTTTTTTTTTTTTTTTTTGAGACACAGTCTCACTCTATTGCCCTGGGTAGAGTGCAATGGTGTCATTGTAGCTCACTACAACTTCAAACTCCTGGGCTAAAGTGACCATCTTGCCTCAGCCTCCCGAGTAGCTGGGACTACAGGTGTGCACCACCACACTCGGCTAATTTTTTCTGTTTTCAGTAGACATGAGAGTCTTGCTCTTGCTCAGGCTGGTCTCGAACTCCTGACCTCAAGTGATCCTCCCACCTCAGCCTCCCAGAGCACAAGGATTATAGGCATGAACCACCATTCTCGGGGCAAGCATCTAAATTTTTTTTAAATGTTGTATATACTAATAAGAATAGTGTGTGTTTGTGTCACATTGAATATGATAATTCATGTATCATTCTGCAAGGAAATACATCGAATTAATTGTAAGTAAATCTTCATTTAGCAGTGTATCCCCGTATTAATGAATGCCTAAACTCTGTTGGCGATATTCAGATGACTCAAGCTTTTTTCTTTTTTAATCTGGCTGAACTATTAGCTGAAATGCCCTGACCTGCAGAAACACATTCCCATATTTGAATCAGGAAAGGCTTTGAAGAGATTAGAATCACATTATCTTTTATTTGACCAGTTAACACCACAGGAAGAAAAGAGCTATTTCAGCCAAGCTAACCCCTCATAATCACACTTAAACATTAATCCTCACACTAAGGCAGACACACAGATTAAAATTCAGAATTGCATCTCTGGAGCCCTTTAGGGCAAATTAATTTTTGTTCTATGAAAGGCACCAGGTGTC